AACACTGCTAGGGGTTACAGCCTTTGACAACTGAGACATTGAAGTATCAGGCCATGCAGCACCTGCCAGAGCTAGGGGAGGGGTCCTGACCACGTGCTCACACAGTCACACAGTTTGGTTAAAATTTGTTAATATGAGATACCTTAACCACAATCAGTTAACACTGCCTTCTCTTTCCATTTCAATCTCCCCTCTGCCACACTTCCTCCCACACCAGATGGGGACAGAGCAGTCACAGTTTGGGGACTTAAGTGAAGTGGAGCTGAGCTACGAATACACTTCGTTTGGGTTCAGTCAAGTGTATGTATGTGGACTATTGTCATTTCTGTATAGAGCTGAGTCAGTCATTACAGTGCAAACATGGCTTCCAAAAAAACGGTCCTACTACCCACTGTGTATGCTCACTATGGACGGCAGGTAAGAGGCATCGCAGTGTGGCCGTCACCCGGCAGTTACATAACCCAGCTTAGCAAGTACTGGCAGTAGGGTGATTGTCTTGGAGTTAGAACGCAGCGCCTGCAAAACTCGTCCACTTGCCAAGCATGCAAAGTCACAAGCATTCGACTCAACACAGACCGCTGGGCTGTCAGCTCTACACGAACTAGAGTCACCTGGGAAGAGGGACCCTCAACGGAGGAACTGCCTCCACCAGACTGGCCTTTGGGTATGTCTATGGGGCATTTTTTTTAAATTGATGATTGACGTAGGAGGGCTCAGCTCACTGTAGATGGTGCCATCCCTGGGCAAGTGGGTCCTTGGTGTATAAAACAGCAGACTAAGTCACTGGGAACGAGCCGGTGCGCGGTACTCCCTCATAGCCTCTACATCGGTCCTGTCTTGGTGTTGCTGCCTTGAGCTGGCTTCCATCACTGATGGACTGTAAACTAACCAAAACAAACCTTTTCCTCCTTGAGTTGCTTTTGGTCATGGTCCTTATCACACCAGCAGAAACCAAACCAGAACCACTGTCTCGACAGAAATTAAATAGAAGTTCCCCTATGTCAAAATATACTTGACGATGCGGTACGAACTGTTATAAATGTACCAGTTGGGGGTATCAATTTTGGGAATCATACAAATACACTAGGGACTAGGCAGTTGTCACGCCCAGGCAAAACCGTCTTCAAGGCAGATCACAAGCTACAAACGGGAATAAACAGCTCCCGGTAACAGAATTCACAAGGAAAACTGTACACTGAAAGCATTGTTTAAGCGTTTTCAGTGACTTGACAATCAGCACAAAGTATTGGGATCAGTAAAGAGACCAAATGTCACATTACACCACCAGCGGTACGTGACGGCATTCAAGTTAGTCAACGTCTGACGGCGGTCAGTACACACACACACACACACACACACACACACACACACACACACACATGCACACACAACTCCAACAGCACAGGATTTGATGGTTTGTACATGCAAACAGACCGATAGAGGCTTTTCCAGTCCTGACAATAACCCAGTGTTACATGATGGGTTATGAAAGACTGTTCTCTGAACTAGTTAATAAAGACCTAAGTTTGAACCACCCTGACGTCCTCACTCCAGAAATGCAAGCCCCAGATTATTTTCCCAGGAAGAGAGTCACAAATTCTGCAGCACAAACCTGTGTGGGAAATGCTGCACGTGGGCCTGGGAATTACCTTCTGCTACTTTTGTGGATTTCGACTGGCTTTTCAATATAAATTAATTCCTAAATTGTGACTTCTTTCCTCATTTAGGTTTTGTTTTCTTTTGTATCTGATCCCTCCCTCTCTCCCGTCCTTCGAGGAGGATTAACAGAATCGAATAAACTTGATGCCCACAAAATTAAATCTGCTCTTGATGAAACATTCACCTTCCTCTAGCCACAGATGGAGAAAATGAGGCCAAGGGAGGTTGTCGGATTTGCCTGAGGGCACATAGCTAGAATGGAACTGCTGGTCCTGTCATACTTGGCCTCGACAATCAGTGTGGCCACTCAGTGGCTGTCTCACTCTGGGTGCCATTTATTTCTCGTAACTTCAGTTTCGTGTCTGGCTTTCTGCAGAGATCCATAATCTATGCTGGAAGACATGCCTTGTCATCAGATCCCCCTTACTTACATCAGTAAGACGCTGGTGAGGGGCTGAGGTGGGAAAGAGCAAGAACCTCCTCCGGGGGACCTACCCTTCCCACCCATGCTGACATGCCTTGGGAGGAGTGCTCTTCAAACAAACCCAGGCACCTACAAGGGTCCCAGGAAGAGAAAGGAAATGACGTGTGACAAGTGTGAAGCTGAGCGGTCAGGAGCAGTGACTGTGTAAATGAGTGTGAGTACTTCCCTCTTGGGGTCAAGTTCACCCCCTGCACAAGGCCTATTGGTCGCCTTTTCTGGACACTTTCCTTCGTATCACTGAGAGTACGTGGGGGCCATTACCCTCCTTTATGGCTTTACGAAACCCAGAGACGGACCAAATGTCTGCTGTGACAGATTGTTTTCTCCCTCCCATACCCAGGGCAGCCCACATAGATCTAACCAGAAAAGCAGGCTTTGTTCTAAAGACTCACCGTGTTTCCTCAATGAGAATTCTACCTGACAACCACCAGAAGGTTCACAATGGAGGGCATTGAGAGCCCTGGCCTTACTTTTTCCCCTCCCATTTGTGCGCCCCCACCTCAGGCTTTTGTTTTTTTTTTTGTTTTTTTTTTTTTTAAAGCTATTTCTTTTATTCAAGAAGCACTTGCTTTTCGGTTCCCTAGACCAGTGGTCAGCTTAATCTGTATCTGGACACATGCCTAAGTAGATGCTTTGATATTATAAGGTTATCATTGGAGGCAGTCAAATCTTGAAAAATCAAAAGATTTACGCTTTCAATCATTAGTGACGGGAAATTTCACTTAATTCCTGGGCTCAGACTATCATGTCCCTACACACAGAATAAAGGTATTATGCAACCATCCCCTTTCCATGTAAAGTGGAGACCTTAAAAAAAAAGGAAGCATGATGAGTGATTCAGAAATCACTGCATGAGAATATTAAAAAGCAGTGTTTTCAGTGGACTCATTGGAGGATAGAAGTTTAAGCAGCAGAGGGGGTGATTTTCATATGAATGTTGAGTGCTGCCAGGCACAGACAAGAGCCTACTGGGTACACAGAAAACCAAGTCTTCTCAAAGGAGTGGAGGAACTATGAGTGACAGGTAGAGAGGGGGCTGTTCAGATAAGAGACGGACATTACTGGACCCTTTTCAAAGAAAACTCGGAAGGTTTTTGTTGGGCTGTCTTCCTTGAACTGTCACGAACAGCAACAACACAACTGTAAGTGGGTGGTGTTCAGTACCACATCTGTGCCATTTATACGCCAGCTGCCAATGGCTGCCATGATGGAGAATTAGCATTAAAGAAGGATCCAAGTTACTAGGTCACCATACAACATAGCAACATAGGGAGCGTGTTCTGAAACGAGACATAGCACCCAACAAGTCATACAAACCAAAACCAAAATAAAAGCTCCTAGCTGAACACAAATAAATAAATAAATGGATGGATGGATGGATGGATGGATGGATGGATGAATAAAACCTCCTTCTTTCTTTCTTTCTTAATTTAGAAATCTCATTCTGTGTAAACAGTGCCCAGGTCCCTACAGGAAAAATAAACAAGCCACATTTCCAGTTGTCTAATACAGACTGTATGAACTGAAGCTGGTGGAAGAGATGGGACATAAAACACAATTCATCCTCCTTTGTCCAAACAGCAGAGAAGGAACCAAAGTTGGAAAGTTCAGAGTGAAGAGGTAGGAGTCGGGAGGTGAAATCAGAATGAGTCTAGTATCTATTGGGAGCTCTTTATCAACCCCTACATCTCTATGTCTTCATTGGTCCAGGAAAACTTACCTGGATTAGAGGTCAAATGGTAGTTCTTGGAGCCTGGAGGTTCTGCAGAGGGGCCTCTGAGGAAGTCACGATAACAAAGGAGTAAAGACAAAATAAACAGAGTGGGGCTTCCTGTTGGGGGATATTTTGATCACCCTCTGACACTCTCGAGACTGAAAATAAAGTTTACTTTGGTTCAGAGGGCGGAGCTAGCTACTAGCTCATTAAAATTAGCCATAGAGGTTTTGGAGGACTGAGGACATATAGAGACACAAAGGAAGCAGTAGGGTGTGGCTTGGAAAGATTCTCAGCTTTGGGGACTGAGGAAGGAGAGAGAGAGAGGAGGTCACTGGTTGCTTTTCCACCACTTCTCTGATCATTCAGGTTCTTACTCCAATATGTGACTCCCGAGTTTTTATTGATAAAGAATAATTAGATAAATGCTTCAGCCTACAGTTGCCTCTCTACTCCAAATGGATCAGAGTTTGATCATTTTGTTGTTGTCTTGTTTTTGAAACATGTAGCTGAGGTTGGCTTCTAACTTGCAATCCTCCTGCCTCAATCTCCTAAATGCTGAGATTATAGCCTGCACCACTACACCCAGCAGATTTCATCCGTTTACTGTGTAAAAATTTTCTATTTAAAAAGTTCTTCCAAGACAATTTCCAGCTTAACATGGCCCCAAAGCATTAGACCAGAGCACATGGTATTTTTTTTAATCTTTCTGCAGTATCTATATGGTTCTCTAGAATATTGTTATAACAATTCACTACTGACTGGTTAATATTGATCCTTAAGTCTGTAGACTATGATCTCTTATTCCTAGGTACAAGGGAAGAAACTGAAACTCCTAAATTACACAGTACAGTAGCTGACAGGATTCAAGCCTGGAAATGTCTAATATCAAAACTGTGGAACTCAAATCTGTTTTCACTGTTAAAAAATAAACCTCCTTGTCAAAAAGTAACTTGTTTTGTTTTTGTCTTAGTGTTTGAGACGGAGAGTTTCTCTATAACCCAAGTTGACCTCAGATTCCTAAATGCTGGGGTTACAGGCCAACACCACATAAACAATAACTTGTTCCCTCTATTTTTTGGACTCCTTCTCCACAATGATCATCAAGCTCCTCGTGTTTATTCTCTGACGGTAAAGACTTACCCTGGGGAGCAGAAGTGAATGGCCAGCAGCTCTGCCCAACAAGCGAATCTGTTGGGGACAGGAAAGCCCAAAATGTTGACAAAGCCGCCAGGGCAGTAATGGTTGCTAAGAACTTTCAAGGCAAACAGAACTCCTAGAAGAGAACAGAGAACGCACCACTATCAACAATTCAAACATGGAGAGAATCATTGAGCACAAAGAAAATCAAATATGAAAACCATTACTTATGATTACATCCAACTTGCTACTCTGAAACAGTCAGTGAGCATGGCAGTCAGATGCTTCAATGGATCCCGACAGGGAAGTTCAAACAGCTCCCAAGTATAGGACACAGAAGGTGAGAATGGGCCACCAGCAATGGTATCAAATGCCAGGGAACTGTCGCTTTACAGCAGCTCATTTTGTGCTATATGGGTATGAACATGAACAAATACCAGTAACATGCATTCCTGTAGCCTCTATGGAAAAACAATGAAAGCCAAGTATATGTCTTCTAGTGGAGCTGGAGTTATAGATGACTGTGAACCGCCTAACAAGGGTACTGGAAATCAAACTTGGGTCCTCTGGAAGAGCAGGATATGTTCTTAACTGCTGAACCATCTCTCCATCACGATATTTATTTTAATGGCTTCTTGGGAGACACAAGCAACATCATTCCCTCAGTAACCTTGGACCAATTCAGCTCTTCCCCTTCTATGCTTATGAGTCTTATGGAAAAACCATGGGAGATAACAAGTACAACCTGCTAAAATAAAGGTGGCACAGGTTGTCTTCTAGGCTTGTCCTTCAAGAATTCCTCTGACCCTTGGGTGTACTGGGATAAAGGAAGGCTGACGTTCAGAGGTTTCATCTGCAAGTAGGATATCTACAGTCGAGACCTCATCTGCCCTGGGAAGCCTTCTGAGCCTTGAGGACCAGCTCGCAGTGAACCCCAGGCTTCTGTAGCTCCTTGACTGCCTATATGTAAGAATTCCACTTGCTTAGTGCTACCGGTTGCATACAAGTGTATTATGCCTCATTGGACTCAAGACAAGTTGATAACCAGTGTACCCTGAGCTTGCTTCACGGGTGTACTCAGTTTTCGAGAACACTCTGTTGTAAAGACACCCATGAGTCCCTCCATGGCATTACCACGAGGGAGCTGGGTGCACACTCCCAGTACTATAAAACTATCTTCTAGCAGGCCCTCGTTCTAAGTGCCTGAGAATGAAGATGCAGCATAACATGCGACAGCCTACATGATGCCTTCTTCTACGCCAGTGAGTTTGCTCTTCAAGATGCGGGCCCCGGCAGCTGTTAACAACTCAGGACCCTGTCCCCTTATCAACTAGGAAAGGAAACGGGCAACCTCCCTCGTGGCCCTCACAAGTATTTCCCGAGAAAGTGCCCACCTTACCTGAGAAACCGACAGCACAGCTCTTTCTGAAGTCGGGCTGATTCGTGAATTCAGCAAGAGCAAACTGCAGGAGCAAATATACCACCCCGGTGAGGAGGGAGAAGGTGGTGATGACGTAGGCAAACCACCTGCTCCCCAGTCTTCTTTCCAGCTTTATCCCTTTCCAGAGCATGGACGCCATGTTGAAATACAGGTGCCAGTCATCGACATGGTGCAAGGGGGAAAGCAGCAAACGCTGCCAGTCTTTTTGCTGGTAACACTTTTCCACGCTGAGGCAGGAATGGTACAGGGGCTTCAGAGGATTCAGGAAGAGCCAGACATTGAGAGCCAACGTTGCCAGGGTAACAGGTGGGATATTGTTGATCCCAACATGGAACACTTGGGAAAGGAGCATAAGGAGCCCGACGTTGATCCCTCTTGATCTCCGATGCATGACTGGGTATCAGGAGCACAGGTGGGGGAACTGTGACTGGGGATTAGGAACCCAGGAAGGGACACAGAGAACAGCACCTGAAACACACATGCACATGAAGCCCATCAGCGGAGAACCCTGTGTTGCTAGGACACTCGCTGGGAGAGGAGCACACACTGGCACATCCTACTTCTCATCCCAACAGAGATATTTACTTTTACTAACTTCTTTCACGTTCTAAAACAGAAATTTTATCCCAAGTGCCAGTGGACTTAAGGACAGGCATGCTGTCCCTGACCAATATGATCATGAACGTGTAATGTATCTTCCTTATTAAAGTAATTAGTTAATTAAATTAAAAGGTAAGCCTAGCAACCTATGTTTGATCCTTGGGCCCATAAAAGGGTGGAAAGAGAAAAGTACCTCCACAAAGCTGTCATCTGACCTACACAGATGTACTCTGGTATGCACACCCACAATACACACATTATAGACACACACAATAATAGTAACAGTAATAATAATAGAAAAGACAAGGGCTGGGGAGAAGGCTCAGTGTACAAAGCGTGCTGTGTAAACATGAAAACCTGAATCCACTTATCCAGAGTGAGGACCAACATCTGAGGTTGCCCCCTGATCTCCACATGCATGCCATGTGTGCCAGCACTCACCCATGTTAAGTCATACACATGCATCATATACATGCACACATACACATCATATACATATAAGCACACATGATATACACATAAAAAAGATTAAAAAAAATGACCATTTGGATGATGTCAATCAACCTACAAAGACAGTATGCAAACATTAAGTACTTTTAATCAAATCCTTGCCAAGTCTCTTTATCTCTTCTATTATTTTTAGCAGAAACACTCAAAATGCCAAAAAAGTAGGTTTGTGAGCATATTATGGTCTAACCGAATTTTCATATTACCAGGTGTCAACTCCCTAAATCTTCCATTGGCCGTAAGCTTTTAAATACTTACCTATGTGCCAAATTCTACACTGAAAAATACAGTCCTTGTTTATAAGCTCACTTGTCACCAAGAAGTAAACCAACCACTGCCACGGGATGTTGTAAGCACAGAGAGGGAGCCCAGGGACACAGACACACAATTCCACCGGAGGTAGGGACAGACTGTCTGTTCAGGTGAGTTCATTTAAGTTAGTGACAAGGAAGAGTTCTGTGAGTCAGAGGCCCTCCACTTCACCCTCCAGACTGAAGCTGGCATTGTGACATGCTTGGGGTGACAGAAAGCAGAGGGGCAGATACTACAAGAAGCCCAAACCTGGCCCCAAGTGTAGATGTAACCAACCGTCTTATTAAATAAGAAACACAGAACCAATGTAAAAGAGAAAGCCAAGAGGTCAGAGCTCAGAGCTCAGAGCTAAAATCTCACCCTTCCTCCTGTGGTGGTCCTAGCTCTCCGAAAAAAGAGCTACTTCCTGTGTGTCTGTCTTTTCATAGTCTTTTTGTCCTGCCTTCTCATTGGTTGTAAACCCAAATAAGTGACTGCCTCGTCACTGTCTGTATGTACAGCCCCCCAGGTCTTAAAGGCATATGTCTCCAATGCTGGCTGTATCCCTGAACACACAGAGATCTATGGGATTAAAGGCGTGCGCTGCTGCCGCTGCCGCCACCGCCACCACCGCCGCCGCCGCCGCCGCCGCCGCCGCCGCCGCCGCCGCCACCACCATGCTCTTGCTATAGCTCCAATAGCTCTGACCCCCGGGCAACTTTATTAACATACAATCAAAATCACATTTCAGTACAATTAGAATACCACCACACCCAAGGTGTGCTGCAGGTATCTGTTCCTGTGTGGGCTTGTGTGGCCAGTCACAGGCTCCTGTTCTCTGATGGTCCCGGCCACACTCCAGCTAACCATGAGACAGGAAGCTGCCTGGCTGACACAGACGTAAAGCAGAGGCCAATGAGCCCATCCTAATTTGAACCATGGAGAGGTAAGTGAGTCCTCCAGTGGTTTGAGAAGCACAGTTACTAATACAGAAGGTATTGACGCTGGAGAGGGACTGGTGGTTCTTGTTCATGAGAGGATGGGGTGGGGGTGGGTAGAGACAGGCTAAAAACACGTCCATAAAAAGGATCAAGGGCTTAAAAAGAAGAACAGAAAGTGGGGGGTAGGGAGTCAGGTAGAGATACAGGAAAAACATGCAGAGATGGTGACAGATGTTCAGAAAAATGTTCATTTACTGATGTGTGTTTTCGTATGGAGATTTCTCAGCTACTGACTCCAGGTAGCAATAACTGAGCACACTAGACAATGCATGGGCTTTATAGAAATGATGCAATTATACTTTAATTTAAAAACATTAAAATATTTAAAGAAAAAACATTTTGAAAAAAAGCTTCTACATAGGAGCACCTTAAGTGAGCCCATAGCTCTAAAATAGAATAACTAGCAATACTAGAACATTCTAGGAGCAAAGGAGGTGGGAAAGTGCTAGTATTTTCACTTCTATAGGGTCATATCACTTATGTTGAAATCAGTTCAGCAAAATCAGTTTCTTATTCTTCTATATAGCATATAGTGAATTTTAGTCATCTTCACATCATCCCCCCAACTCTCCCACTGGCACCCTTCTAGACAAGTCTCCCCCCACCCCACCGCCATGTACTTTCATGTTTTCTTCTGGTGAATTTAGAGTTACTCAGTGTGTCATAGTGGGCTGGCTTTAAGGTTTCAAAAGAAGCATGCCACTTTCAGTATGTTCTCAGTCTCCTGCTTTTGAGATTTGAGAGGTGAGCTCTCATCGATTCCCGCCACCATGCCTTCACTCTGCTATCATGGACTCTAATCCGCTGGAACCATAAGCACAATTAAACGATTTCTTGTATAGGTTGCCTTGGTCATGGTGTTTTTATCACAGCAGCAGAAAAGTTACTAATACAGGTATTAAAGTTGTCCAAGTTGGGGCAGAACACTCCACCATCACTTTTTCTCAGCCTCTTGGACAGCTACGGATTTCTGCATTAACCAATGCCTGCTGCAATTAAGAAGTTTATCTGAGGAAGGTGTGCTAGATAGTCTTATGCCAACTTGATACAAGGTATAGAGAGGAGAGGAGCTCAACTAAGAAAATGCCTCCACAAGATCAAGCTGTTGGCAAGCCAGTAGGGTATTTTCCTAATTAGTGATTGATGGGGGAGGGCCCAGCTCACTGTGCTTGTTATCGCCCCTGGGCTGGTGATCCTAGGCTCTTTAACAAAGCAAGCTGAGCAAGCCAAGAGAAGCAAGCCACTAGGCAGCACCCTTCCATGGCCTCTGCATCAGCTCCTGCCTCCAGGTTCCTGCTCTGTTTGAGTTCTTGTCCTAGCTTCCTTTGGTGACAGACAATGATGTGGAACTGTAAGCCAAAGAAATCCTTTCCTCCCCAACTTGCTTTTGGTCATGGTGTTTCACCACAGCAACAGGAACCCCAACTAAGACAGCAGGCTAAGAACAGCACTTTTGGGATTATGAACATGAGTACTTGGAAAGTGGTAGACAACATGATTGTTCAGCAGAACAATAGTGGGAGATTCCCCTACTAGAGCCTAGGACCTCCGCAGTCAAGGTTTATTGAACCAGCATATAAAACCAGAAGACCAGGACACCTTCACGATCTCTATTTGCCCCACAGCTGTATCAATCTTCCCACCATATGATGTGCATTACTTTACCTTTCAGAACACTCTATCAACTTCATAGAAAGGAACCTGTGAGTCACTTGAAATTCACTGACAGATTGCTTTGCCAGAACTATCTGGCAAACAAAACGCCATTTTAATTATGTGGTAATATACACCAGACAGCACTATATCAAGTCTGTGGCAGAGACATGGAAGATTTCTTGAATACTGATGGGGAAATTAGCCATATTTACTTTTAATGAGAAATTAAAAATTAAACAGGTATGTAATAAGAAAAACTACGCGGCTAGAATAAACAAAGAAACTGAATTCATAACTTGGGAAACCAGTGCGTCTCCGGGGGAGTAGAAAGGGAAAAGAAACTAATTACATGGAATTTTCAATTCTACTTGCAAAGCAGAAAATATTTCCCCATTATCATTTACCAAGGCAGTATATATCTCAATTTTCAGATTTAAATGTTCAATAAGAACTGAAACCATTAAATTGCAAGAATATATACAAGCTATAAATTCTATTCCCAATTTGGTATGTGATACTAACCAAATTAATTCCACAAGAGAAACAGACATGATAGAGTCTTAATGGGAGTAATTAAACGCCGCGCTGAAGACTGGGGTCTCTGTATTATTGTAAGGGCAACAAATTCACTGAAATCATCTTACATTGTGTGGCTGCCTCTCCAAGGAACTGTTTATTGTTACAGAGCTGAGAAAGATCAATGGTGTGCCATTACTGCTCCGAGACCTTTGGCAAATTTCATTTAACAATTTTACATAAATATTCTTTTAAAAAAATCATAGGGGAAATGTGATTAACAAGTGTTTATCAAAGGCCTGCTATTGCCCAGGCTGAGAGCTTTCTAAATATCCGACTTTCTAAACACCTAAGTTTAGAATTCTTTAAATGGGGACATAATTCACATACCATAATAATAACACTCTTGACGCGCACAACTAAGTGGATTTTAGTATACTCATAGGTTGTGTAACCATAACCAGTATTCCAGAACTTTCTTGGTGCCAAAAAGAAACCCCAGGCCTTTTAGCAGTCTCAATGCCTCTCTTCCCCTAGATCTTACTAATTATCCACCTAATTCCTGTCCATTGTCTCTTCTGGACTTCTCATGTGAGATTACTCAATACAGAGCATCTGACTTCTTTTTCTTATTCCAAAGATCATTCATATTACACCAATACTTGTTATATTCAAGTAATATTTCATTGTGGAGATGCACCATATCTTCTTTCTCTACTCTTCAGATGGGATTGTCCACTGTTTGCAGCCTGGCCCTATGATGCATAATGCTCCCATGATCCTAGTGTGCTATTCTCTGTATGAACACACACTCCTAAGAGTAGAGATACTGGGAAAAACAGCAACTCTGTCTTAACTTTTGAGTAATTGTTTTTTAAACTCATGCACCATTGTGTG